TGGAACCGGGGATTGAACTCAGGTCCTTGCGCTTGCCAGGGAAGCGCTTATTCCACTGAGCCATCTCCCCGGCCCCTAATTACATGTCTTAAGCAGAGAGTGTTTGTGAGGCTAAAGAAATACAATATTTTGGGGCTGGGAAGATAGCTCAGTAGAAGAAGTGCTTGCCTGGCAAGTGCAGGGTCCTGAGATCAATCCCCGGTACCAAAAAAAAAAAAGAGAAATACAATATTTCATCAATTTATTGTAAATGCAAATTTATTTGTGAGATATTAATTTATGTCTAATATATAAGACATAAGAATATTGCATTTGAATATCTAATGATGCAATCTGGTCAATATTCTGAAATAATAAAAATGGTAATTTAGCATTTTTTACTTTTGAAGAGAGTAAAAGAAATTAGAAATGATGCAAAATTTCACTAAGAAAAATGTTAGGAATTCAACCAATGGTTTTTATATTGCATAATGTGGGCTTCAAATTAGTTGTTTATATTACCAGATATAAATTTGCAAAATTAATCAGTAAAAGTTATAAGAAATTTGAAACAAGAGAAAATATTAAGCATTAACTGCTCCTTTCAGTAGACCAGCAGAAATCATCAGTACAATTATCCAAGTGATCCTGTAAATACATATAACTATATCTTTTCCTTTTCCTTTTTTCTTTCTTCTGTCCTTTTTCTCATCCCTGTTGTTCCTTCCCTTTGAACAGATTTTTTTAGCTTTTACTGTATCTATTGAACCTATCAGATTTTGTTTTTCCTTTTAGGTTCTCACACTAGCCAGACTGTGACTTTTACATATGCTGGTCTTATTTATTTGACTTATGAGTATGGTCTCTGGTTGCATCTACTTATCTATAAAAGCCTCAAGTATGTCTTTTATAGCTGAGTTATATGCCACTGCACAAAAGTACCACATCTTTTTTATTCAGTCCTCAGTTGATAGACATTTGCATTGTTTCCAAGGTTTAGCTAGGACAAATGGTGTTGCTATAAACATAGAAGTACAACACTGCTGCGGTATGATATTTTTATTTCTTCTGGAAAAATACTCAGGAGGGGCATAGCTGGGCTCAATGGACTTCTAATTGTAGTTCTGTGAGGAGTCTCTACATTGATTTCCATTGTGGTTTTTACCAATCTTCAATCCTACCATCAGCGGAGAAGGGCTCCTTTTCCCTGTAGACCCTCCAGTATTTGTTATTGGTTCACATCTTTTTTTCTATCTTTTATTTTGTAAAGAATACAATATAGTAAAAAAAAACAAAAGCAACAAAATTTTCACTAAACAAAGTAATAGGAGTTAAATAATAGTTGCTGTATTGCATGATATTATCTTCAAATTAATTGTTTAGGTTACCAGATATAAACATGCAAAATAGGTTAAAACAAAACAAAACAACAACAAGAAGTTATAAGAAATAAGAAGAAAAAAGAAAAAGAAAAAAATTAA